GTTTCAAGAGGGGAACAAGGTGCAGCCACCGTCAAACAGTAAGACTGCTCTGCTGGGGTCAGAGCACTACAGGCTTTTTTTTTTTTACTTTTTACAGCTTGGCTTCTGATCAATTAGTACCTGGGTTTTTGTCCCCCCACCCCAACACAGCATCTTCATCTTAGTATCAAAAGAGCAACTGAAACAAACAAAACAAAAACACAAAGGCACTGGTCGATTTTTAAATGGCAAATGAGTTTCCTGAAATCTGCTTGTACTAAGATGCTGGCTAGAGACCCAGGAACCAAAAATACAAAGCTGATTTTAAAAAATTCCACCTTTCCCCCCTACCTTGTGGCCAGACAAACATTAAAATTTTGTCTCTGGGGGCACCTGGGTGGCTCAGTGGGTTAAAGCCTCTGCCTTCGGCTCAGGTCATGATCCCAGGGTCCTGGGATCGAGCCCCGCATCAGACTCTCTGCTCAGCGGGGAGCCTGCTTCCTCCTCTCTCTCTGCCTGCCTCTCTGCCTACTTCTGATTTCTGTCTGTCAAATAAATAAATAAAAAATCTAAAAAAAAAAAAAAATTTGTCTCTGCCTTCAAACCATACCCTCAGCTTTTGGAAAAGACAGAACTCAAAGTGATCATAAACAGGAAATCAGGAACCAAGGTGGTGGCAGAAAATCAACACAAGGGATGCAAGAAATCCACAAGCTTTCCTGTCGTGGGACCCAAGTCCTTGGCAGACCTAATTGCCTGGCAGCACAAGACCGTCTCCTTCTCCCCCAAAGAGGGAGAGGAAAACATAGCTAGAGAAGTTAAGAAAAGCTGTGTCTAAACCGTTACTCCCAAAGATGCAAATACATCAGGCTTCATTCCTTTCTTCCAGATACTTGGAAAAACAAGATGCTGAAGGAATATATACAGAAACCACAGAACCTGCCACGAGACTTCTCAAGCTGGAGGTGCTGCCTGGATCTGGTCAGCTCTTGTCCTCCTTCCAAGGGAGCACCTTTCTTCCAGGACAAGGCAGCTCACTTACATCTTCTTCTGTGTAGGTAAGTCACCGAATTTCCTCAGACCTTGTCCTTGAGAATCTAAGAAGGACCCCAGTGCACCCCTATTGCAAACACACACGGATCCGTGGAAGTGTTGTAAGTTATTCTCCAGGTACAGATTCTGGCTAAATTGTAAATTAGAGACATTACTTTAATTCTCCCTCATCTTTGGGAAGCTTTCAGCTGTGCTATAAGCTAAAACAGCGTAATGAATATAGACTAATATTCCTCTTCAATACTGAAAGCAAGTCATAATCTACATTTTTAAAACACGGGAGTTACAGCTATCTTTCTGGTGGGATGGCAATCCCCTCTGAGAAATCCATGACAGGATGTAAATCCTTTGTATCAAGGATCTTATTTTGATCTATGTTTGGAAACTAAGACCACTAGTAATATCAAAGTTCACTGGAAAAGCCCGGGAACCAAACTTAAACGGGTTTACATTATTTGGGGGCTGGAATAACTAATGGGTAACTGAGCAGACATTCACCTATGGGTGGGTCTCAGGGATGGGGAAAAACCTAACTTCTGAAAGGAGAAAAGCGATAGCTCTGGTATCAATCCCCCCCAACGTTGCTTCCAGTCAAACTCCTAAGTGAAAGTGGTTACAAAGTGTACAAGATTAAAATAATCAAGCATGCTGGAAAATATGGATACTCTTTGAAAATTTTAGCTTTGGTGACCATTTCAGCAAGTGCTGGATGAGAGATACTAGGGCAGACCTTGCTGGCCCTATTTCACAAAAAGAGAAGTTCAGTGATTGGCCTCATGTCGCTCAATCAGTAGTGGTGGAACTTAAGCTCCAACACACCCTATCTGACTCCTCGTCTAACAGTCTTCAAATGAAGATGGGCAAATGTATAAAGTAGATTTGGAAGACTAGCCCCCCTTATCAGTAATAGCTCACACTCATTAGATGCTTACACTATGCCAGGAAGTCTTTGGGGTGCTGTGGATGCATTAACTCATTTATCCTCATAGCAACCGCAGGAAAGAAGTAATGCCACCATCTCCCACTTTAAAGATGTGGAAAGAGAGACCAGGAGATGCTCAGAAACCCGACCAAGGTACCAGGGCTGAGTAAATGGGAGAGCTAAGAAAATCTGTGCTCTCTGCATAGAAAGACTAAAGCACGGGCATTCCCAAATCAATGTTCAGATTATCAGCAGTCCTGGGAATATTTTATACAAATTTTTGAATTTAAATTCAATTTAGTTAACATATACTGTATTATTCACGTCAGGGATAGAATTTAATGATTCATCAGTCGCATGTAACACCCAGTGCTCATTACATCAAGTGCCTTCCTTAATGCCTATCACCCAATTACCCCAAATCTGCTCACCCACCTCCTCTCCAGCAACCCTCAGTTGTTTTTTTTTTTTTCCCAATAGTTAGGAGTCTCTTATGGTTTGCTTCCTTCTCTGTTTTCATCTTATTTTATTCATTTTAACAAAATATCTTCACAGTGAGATCCAAATTACTGATGCCTCCAAAATATATATCTTTAGTCCAAAGACAAAACACAGCAATTCGTATGGTGACACAAATTCCATTTAAAGATCCCCTTATTGTAAAGAAGTGCTAGGCAGGAAACAGTTAAAGCTTTCTGAAAATCTCAACAAATTATGTGTCAAGACAACTTTAGAATAACATTTCAGAAGACTCATCCTACCTACCTTCTTGATTAAACCACCCTACTAAAATAAACAATTTTTGAATGACATCAATTCAACTCAGACATAAACACTGTCTGAAGTCTTTATGCCCCATCACATCACATATTTCCACCATCGAAAACGATTATGCCCCATCACATCACATATTTGAATCACTATGTGGTTTGTAGGTTTTTATTTTAATTTTTAAAAATTTTTATTTTATATATTTATTATTTCTTGAGATGCTGCAAGATCTGCCTTTGGATCCAAAATCACTCCTTCATTCATCACAGCTGTCAACCAGTGTAGCTAAACCTTCTCCCATACAGATTTTAATCTGCTCAGATAATGGAGGAAGTTTGCTTGCTATCATTGCTTCAGCAACTATCAATCCGGAGATTTCTGAAAGTCTGGCTTGTTCCAGAACGGCCTTCCATAATCTTTCAGAAATCATCTTCGGGTATTAAAAAAAAATATCTTAATTCCACATAGAGCTTCTCTGCCAATCAGAGGTCATTCCTAAACTACTGCATAGCCATTAAGAAGGGAGCTAGAAGGGAGGAAAAGCTCCCTCTCCAGACCTTTGCCCAGAAACACTAATACCGACATCGGACATTGCCATGTTTTCAGCTCACACTTGGATAGGTCCAAATCCTACTGTTTGTTCTCTTGCCCTTTACCACCTTCTTGCATATACAAAACATTCCCTGATGTACTTCAGTCAAGCTGGACATCACCACCGCAGATTATAAACCCCAATTACCACACTGCTACCATCCCCATCTCAGGCATACCGCATACCCCACAGTCAGACTCAAAACCAGGTTAGGAGTCTGCCAACTCGGTCTGGGTGACCCCTGAGCAGTCACTTAACCTTTCTGTGCCTGAGTTTTTTTCACCAGCCAAATCAGAATCGAAACAGTGTCCATTTCTTAAAAGCATTTTAAGGAAAATGAGATAAAAGATAAAAAGATCTAGAACAATGCATGACATAGAGTAGGTACTGAAGTAAGAGTTCACAGTCATTGTTGGGTTGATTTTAAAACAAAATATATACTTCTTGTATTCCCGCATCAGTCCTTCTGGATCCCAACTAGTAAAGCTAGGGGAAGAAAAAGATCAGCTGTTGAGAAAATACCCCCACTTTCTACTCTACAGAGGACAGACCAAACTGTCAAGTGGGATGGCCAATCTGAATTCATGCTCACTGTCTGTCCTCTTCCAGCCTTATCTGTAAATCCAGTGCAGGGGTACTTCTCCAATTGGGTGAGTAAAGGTTAGTCCTTCTGCTCTATATACACACAGAGCTCTCAAAAAGTAAATTAATTAATTAATTAACAAAATCCAAAGCTCCTCTGATACTGATCTTCTAGTCTAGAACTTCGATTTTAAAGATGAATAAACTGGTTTGGAGGCTAAGTGACTTGCTCAAGTTCACATAAATACTCAGGAGCAGAACCAAGGCCAGAAAATGATCATTACCCTATGCAAACCACCAGGCACTCTTCCATATCCATTACACATGTCACTTAATTTAATCCTCATAACAATCCTCTAAAGTAGGTATTATCTCCATTGTCTTAGAGATGCAGAAACTGAGGCTGTAAACTAATGTCTTCAAAAGCACACAACTGACAAATGATAGAGACAAGGTCAAATGCTTCCTGTCTGGTCCCAAAGAATACACACCTGTTTCAAGTTTTCTAGCGCTCAAGGCTAGAATTCTCCGTACCGAGTCTCAACCTTTAACGTTCAAACTGAGCGTACCTCAGCCTCATCTGGGGAGCTTTCAAAATACAAATTGCTGGGCTCTACCTAGGGAAGGGGAATCAGAGTCTCCGGGGAGGTATGGCTTCAAAAATGTGTAAATCTTCACAGCTGGTAGGGTGATTCTGATGCGAAGCAAGATTTGAGAAATCCTAATCTAAGAAGACATTTCAGGAAGGCTTCCAGTATAAAATGAGAGGTAAAGGAGTTACCTAGAATGTTCAGAGTAGCTAAATTTGTGTGAAGGGTAACACGGTGACCCTCCCCTAAATCCTTCTGTGTCCCACAGACACACACGCAGCCCCAGTCACATAAACATGTACATATCGAACCATAGCCCTACTTCCATTCATCTTGCCTAAGGAAATCAGCACCACAATGAAAACAAGCGCTGTTCTTTCCAGCAGTTCCAGAATCTGTGTTGTGTTCGAAATGCAGCAATAAGCTTTCTTTCCACCCTTATCCTCTGCACCACAATTTCTTAGGGCCGAGCTAAAAAAAAAAGGGGAAGATTGTTTCAATGAGCACTTACCAAGGTGCCCCGTATATCCTGAATCCCTTCACTGTTACCTCCGAGTCTTGTAAGTAAATACTGTTTGTCAGGAGGGACTGAACGTTGTCAAAGTCCTCTGGTTTCAATTTGGACACAGAGGGGAAACGGTAGTAGTCCTGTTTAACAAGGTCTGCCATGAATTCCTTATCAAATGTCAGTTCATGATTCCCAGCAATCACTATTTTATATTCATATGGCAGGTTTCCTGAAATAAGAAAAAAGAGTACCAATTAGCATGTTCATTTCCCATCACAAAGTACAAGAGCCGAGACTGTGTGATTAGCAGACAGTATACCCAAATGAAATAGCTCACGCATTCCTTTATATTTCCATGGGAACCAAAATTTATGACTACGCCTTTATGCTAGCAAAAATGACAATAAACAGGAGAGAGGAAGCTGCTAAGAAGCTTAAAAGCTACTAAGAAGACATTCAGCTTTCTAGTTCCATTTCCCTCTTCTGTATGCTATAGATTCACTGTGATGAATCACACTTTATAATTATCCAGTGAAAAGCACTTTAATCACGATCCTTAAAAAAGGTCTGGACTTGGTTTGGTCCTCAAAAAATAAGCCAACCAACTGTTCTTAACAACTCAAATGACTGCTTGATTTGTAGGATATCCTTCAAAAGTACATTTGTAGTATATCATACAAAAGACATGGCACAGCCGAGCATTCCACAATATACATAAATGAAGGGAACTACGGAGTACAATTTCATATTGTAAGTTAAAATTTACCTTGTGGCTTGTGAATAAAAAGGACGTTAATAATGGCCCCCTGATTAGAAGGCTAACTTTCCTCCCATCGGGATGGGAGAAGAAACTGTAAAGCTTAACCCCCTTTTAATATTTATGGTATGGAAATGTGAGTTCTCGGTGTGTGCTTTTTATGCAAAAGTTTCCCGATCAAAATGAGATAATTCTGGGAAGAAGAATGAAAGCTATAAAGGAAAACCCAAACACCAGACTTCTGCATAGATTTATAATGTTTGAATAAAGTACAGATCATACATATTAATAACTCACCGTGATGCTATAAGAACCAAACTCCAAAGGGAGATAGTGCTGGGCAGCTGTCCCCATCCTGAAATTAATGCCCTTTTCTCTTCTTTGTCATTACCCATCCCTCAAGCCTCACTGCAGAGCTGCTGCTCATTTTATTTTATTTCATTTTATTTTAGGGAGAAAAGGGTGGGACAATGGTGCCTATAATTCCAGCTTCCTGAGACTCCTGGGTCCAATGCAAAATTAATGTTTCCTGCTATTCCAGGAAGAATGAAAGTTACCACTAGCAGGAAATTGGATACACTTGTTGTAGGAATTGGTTCTTACCAGCAAGCCAGAGTCAATGATTTAATTAATGAAGCTTAGTGGGGAGGAAAATTATATTTTGGAAGTGGGGGCAAGTTTTGCCATAGGTACTTGGACTTCAGCAATGCAAACTGCAGAAAACTGTGCTGTGAAGTCCTCAGTTCCAACAGCGCACTGCAAACGTATTTGCTAACATTGATTTTTTTTTTTTTGAGAGAGAGAGCAAACACCGGTAGGGGTGGGGGCAAGAGGGAAAGGGGTAGAGAATCTTAGGCAGGCTCCGTGTTCAGCATGGAGCCCCATGCAGGGCTTGATCTCACGACCCTGAGATCATGACCTCCGCCAAAATTAAGAGTTGGACAAGTGTTTAACCGAGTGAGCCACCCAGGTGCCCCTGAAATGATTTTTAAGATCACCAGAGTAGGCTTTGTAATGCTATTTTCTTTAGCTTTCAATTTTTAGGTTTCTGTCAGTAATGAAACTGCATATATAGCGCACGGTTTAATAGGGAGGCTTAAGAGAGAAATGAAAGCAGTCAGAAAATAACACCGCAGAAAGCAGCCACTGCAAACACTGCGGCCCAGCGTCCCTGGATATCCTGACTACTAGCGCACAATCTGTGGGACATGACTTTGGCCTCAGTTCTGTGTACGGCTGTGCTGAAGCGCTCACGGAAAACAGGGAGCCTCTCTCAAATGTATGTTTTTGCAAGTTTATAATGCGCACTAGCATAAGGCAATAAGGAGTGTGATGTATGTTGTGAGCTACCTGGACAGAATGATATCTTGCACAATTCCCTGCATTTAAAATTCATTTGAGAGATGTATTAACGGGCCGCAAATCCGCGATGACCACCCACACTGGGAATTTCTGAGAAGCCCCTGGACTCTAACATCACGGCTCTGTGACCCCCTTTGGCCCGATACTGCACGCCCAGAGTCGCCTGTGTCCCCAGAGCCAGAACGGGCTGAAACATTTTCCTTGACGGTAATCTGTTTCAAGGCAGGTCGGACCTGCATGAGTCTTTGAGCAACTCTATTTGTACAAGTCATGCTATAGCTGCCCAGTTCTGTTTTAATCATTCATGACGACGGACTCACTGTAAGCCTTTCTTTCTGCGCCACAGCTCTTACAAGAAGGCCTGGCTTCTCGCTTTTTCCATTTTAGAGTTTTGGTTCAGGAAGGGTACGGGTGAGACTGAGAAGGCAAAGGAAGTATATTTTCCTCCTTGGAACATTTCTTTTTTTTTTTTTTTTTTTTTTTTTTTTAGAGAAAGTGAAACTGGTGCAGAGTAAATCTCCTTCAGGAAGACCTCTCTTCGGTGTCTTTTAAATCAAATTTTGGAGACTCAGCATAAAGAAGTAGCCACCAAAGTGATGATATTTACACATTGCCAGAGAACTCATTTCTTTCTGAGAATCCAGTAGTAGTTTCCAACTTCCCCCCTCTGTTACCTATGTAAGTAAAAGCAGGAAGGCTGACAAATCTCCTATTACTTGATGGTATCTTTTTATTTTTCGAGACTAGCTTAATTCGGAAGGCTCTGCAGTCAAGCTCCAAACTTCTTGGTATTCAAATAGCATCATTTAAAAATTGTTAGACAAAGAGGTGCCTGCCTTGATCCATTTTATCCAGATCAGGCCACTGAAGTTGACTTGCCTGAATAAAAAAACCGAGGCTACATACAGTTATTCTAGCACGGAAAAATTCTTGCTTTGAATGACCTAAAGAACTCTAACTAAGCATTCCATCTTTCCCAAGACATGCTATATGTTCTACTAGCAATTTACAAGATTATTTTAAGTGAAATGGAGATAAACTTTTGATAAACTGTCAAATTGTTCTGTAAGTTTTAAAAATGCATATTTGGAAAAATACAATACGGCAGTACAAATAATGATATATGGCTTCATTTTTTGTTTCTGTTTTTCATCGCTACTTTCATTTTTCTATTTTTCCATATAAAATAAAAGGTGATCTAAAGAAAACTACTGAGCAAATCATAATACAGATAATTCACAAGTATGGCAAAGTGGTGACTTTGCCGTACTTGTGAATTTTTTGATGATTTCCTTTCATTCAAGGAAATGAATGAGATGTGGGAAATCAGCCCATCTTCTCATGTCCTCTTGATCTCATTCTTTCCATTCTCACTGGCACTTAAATTTTCCAGACATCTATCTTTGATATTTTGGGTCTCTCTCTCTATATTTAATCCTCTTTACTGAGTTTTATTTACCAAACCCAAGAAAACAAAAACAAGCAGCCATTGACGTGTGTGTGTGCGCGCACACACACACACACGCACACGCACACGCACACACACCTCTCAAATACAATCCTAAACCATGCTTATTTTTCAGGTGCTTCTTCATTTCACATCTAAACTTTTGGAAAGAGGATTCCAGAAGCTCGCAGCTGGTAGGCCAAATACAGCCCACAGATGTATGACAGTTGGCCTTCAATGCTGTTTTGTTTTGTTTTGTTTTTAAATTGAACATTTAGAAATCAGGCGATATCATGCAAAAAATTCTGATTTTCTAGCTCCTTTTGGAAAATCAGAAGACCAGTCACTACCGACCATCCAATCAGCCACAGATCTTTCCACTCCCTACGACTTCTCACACCTGGCCCACTTACCACATTTGTGTTGCCTGACCCTCCCCTCTGTTATCAGAATTAGCAACTAAGAGACACGTGGTTACTCAGAACTTACCCCACGCAGTCTTGTTTGTGTTTCTATTCTCTTCCCAAAGCTTTCCCAGAATGTCAATAATAACTTCCAAATAGCCAAAGCACAGACCTTTTCTCTCTTCTCATCTCCAGGGATCATGCTGCAGTGACATCCCTGTCCCTCAAAGTCTCTATCCACTTGACATTGGATGCTGCACTCCCAGGTTCACCTCCTCCCTCTGTCACATTTCTTTCCTTCCTCTTCTTCCTCAGCCCCCTTTGCCTCTTGTCTCATTCTCAGTTGACTCATTACATTCTCCCTCTTCATCTTTACTTTTATGGATATTAATTAATATTTTCTTATAGTATGTCTCACCCTTCTATTCTCTGTGATTCAATTTTAAACTATTACAGTTTAAACGATGGAAGCAGCGTAAGGTTAAGAGCAGGGACTCTGCTTCAGGCTTCACCACACACTGGCTGCATGACCTTGGTCAGAGTCCTTATGTTCTCTCAAGTGTGCTAGCAAAATGAGGACAACAACTGCACCCACCTCATAGCCTGTGCTCAAGCTAAAATGAGATAAAATTTCTAAAGCACCTGCATGGTATGGACTAAACAATCAGTGCATGTTAATTATCGTTTTACTCATTTTTCTTAATTTTGCTTTTTGCATGTGACTTGTCTCCCCCTAGACTGTGAAGTCCTTGAAGGTATAGATCATGGCTTGTGGCTTCATATTTGACCCACAGTACCCAGTTCCATCCCTTCCAAATGGCAGGCACACGATTACTATTCACTGAATAAGTGGAAGAATGAACGAACTTCTGCAAGATTTTCCAGAAGCTTTCTTAGGAGAATTACGGGAACTGAGCTTGTCATCTTGGGATATGACAAAGTTTAACCGTTGTCACACCGTCCTCCAGAGACACAGGTTTACTCAGAATTTACCCAATTTAAGCCTTCTGAAGTGTCCCATTCTGCCCCCAAATTCAGTCTAGCCAAAAAAATCTCTAACAAACCATTTTTTAGCTGGCCTTTTCCTTAATCTAAATGGGGGGAAAATAATACCACCCCCCACCAAGGTTTGGTACACATTAAATCAGATGCTGCATGTAAAGAACTTGCAGTTTCTAACACTTCATGATGATTCAACAGATATTAGCTGTCACATACTGGTTGTTACAATGATTACCCTTCCCAGGTGCCATCCAAGA